GGGTTCTGTTTCCCTGGTGCTCAGGTTTGTTTGCTTCTTGGCAACTGAATGTAACAAGGCCATTGTGATTTGGATTTCCTCTCTGGAGTGCTCTTGGCTCAGTGTGGGTGGAGACTCATTCTTGCCTACTGACTAAGGCACTGAGCCAGGAAGTCTCAGGTTCAAATTTCACCTCCTCCACAAACCCTCTGGGTGGCCTGAGGCAAGCTACTGTTGTCTCAGTCCCTCAACTGCTCTGTGGAGATATATAATATCAGCCTACCTAAGTGGTTGGAAGGATGACATAAAGGATGTGCCTGAAGCACGCTGACTCCTCTAAAAAGCACAGAAAGTTAGTAGGGTGCCAAAAATCTGGGCACAGAACACTGTTGAGCTGGACACCTGGGTGTTGCAAAAGTCAGGCGCATGAATGCCACTCCTAGAACATTATGCTCATTTTTTTAGCACCTTTGAGTCGGGCAAAGGGAGCCTTGACTCTCAAAAGCTTATACCCTGAAAATCTTGTTGGCCTCAGAGGTGCTACTGGACTCAAAATCTAGGTCTTCTACAGCAGAGCAATATGGCACCCATCTGAAATTACAAAGCTGCTCACATCATTCTCCCCTTCTCCGTTTTCTCCTTACAATAACTCTCTGAGTTAGGTCTTCTGGGTGAGAGCGTATGGCTGGCCCAAGGCACCCAGCAAGCTCCCCTCGCAGAGTGGGGATTCAAAGTGGAGTCTCCCAGATTCTGATCTCGGCAATCCAACCACTACACCACACTGGCTCTGAAGAGACTCTGGGATATACAATGTTTCTCTGTGCCCTGGCCACGTTTCTTCTCCTCCCCCCCTTCGTTGAGCATTGGTTCACCCCAGGGGTCATTTCATAGAAAAAGAGCTAGGGGAACTCATTAGCATAACTCATTAGCATATGCCACACCCCCTGACATCAGGGGCCCAGTGGTGGACCTGCAAGGCCAGCGGGAGTGCGAGGAAGCCCCGCCAAGGCCCTCCCTGGCCCCAGGCAGGCAGGGGTGGGGAGAGGCGGGGAGGAAGCAACTTACCCTCCCTCTTCTCCTGCCTCCTCCTAGCTGAATAAGGGCTGGAAGCGGATCAGCCGGAAGCAGGGGGCGGGGCTTCGTCATGTGCCCCGCCCCCCGCACCTCACCCGGGGGAACTGTGTTCCCCTGCGTTCCCCCCCGAAATGACCTCTGGTTCACCCAATATCAGGGTGACAGCAGGGATGTCTCCCATGAGGACACCGTCCCCAAGTGCAGAAGCAGTGTACCACTCCCAAAGGGAGAAGGAAAAGGCAGCCGCCCACTTGGACGACAGATGCTAACTTCAGCCATTGAGGCCTGGTAATTGGAGCCTGCTCTTGTTTGTATAGCCCTGCTTTTCCTCTGCAGGGCCGATTCCAAGCCTGAAAGCTCTGTGTCGGCATGCGCATGTGCTTTTTGCGGTAACACATTCCAAGCTCCTGGTGTCAGATGGCCCGTAAATCTAAATGTCTCTGAATTATTAACTGTGGTGCTGAGGCTAGCCGGTCCCAGGCAATTGTCTCTTTCAGGTGGGGAGTAGAGCGTTCAGCCCGCTAGTGTTACTCTGATGCTCTTTTGAAACTGTTTTCTCTGGGTTACCTTCTAAGCTGGCCGGCCTGGAGCATTCATTTATAATCAGATTGTAGCTCTCCGTATGCAGTCACCAATGAAGGGCGGGAGTCTCGGCTGCAAATCTGAATAAAATAATCCTAAACTTTGGGACTTCATTTATAAGCAAGAAGATTGCGACGCAAAGAAGGGGAAATGAAGAGCCCTCTGGAGCCTGTCTGTGTGCAGAGGCTGAAAAGCCCTTGAGGACTTCTAGTTGCATCCCTGATCAGATTTCCCCATAATGGTTGGCTGGCTGTCCCTGCTGCTGTTGAGCTTCTCGTTCTCAATTTCCTTCTCTCGCAGGTGGTGGAGAGGAGGAGGACGCCCGCCGAAATCCGGGAGGAGTTTGAACGTTTGCAGCGAGAGAGGGAAGAGAGAAGGCTTCAGCAGCGGACTAACCCCAAGGTAAAAAGCTAGAGGGCCCCACTTGGCTTTGAGATCTTCCCCTCAAGCATGTGTGTTTTCTAGCTACAGAGTGAAAATAGATGACAAGATCACTCTCTCCTTAAGTTGAAGTTGGCCACACTTTCTGTGATTTTTTTATTGCAGTATAGAGTATAGGTGGCTCAAGTGGTTAAGACGCTGAACTGCAGGCTGTGGAAGGTCGGTAGTTCAGCAGTTCGAGACCCGGGTGCCGCATGACGGAGTGAGCTCCCGTCTCTAGTTCCAGCTCCTGCCAACCTAGCAGTTCGAAAGCAAGAAATTGCAAGTAGATAAATAGGTACCACTTCAGTGGGAAGGTAACAGCGTTCTGTGCACCTTGGTGTTTAGTCATGCCGGCCACATGACCACGGAAATGTCTTCGGAAAGCGCTGGCTCTTCGGCTTTGAAACGGAGATGAGCACTGCAACCCTAGAGTCAGATTCGACTGGCTTTCGAGCAAGGGAACCTTTACCTTTACCTATAGAGATGGGCACGGTGAGGGTGACGTTAAATTTTCACAGAGGGTTGCAAGTGCTTCTGGGGAAACCAAGTCTTGGCAGGCTTGAGTGCGACCATCCTCTGCAGTGTCGTACACATGGTTGTGTCAAAAGGCCTTAACATTCCTCCCTTCTGTAAAAGCACCCTATGTCTCTGGAGCTATGTGCGAATGAAAGTTTTTTCTCCAATGTTTTGGGGCCGCACTAGGGTTCTTGTTGCAGTCTATCGCTGTTATTAAGACATAGCAATAATCATATAGCACTGTCAGCGTGCTGGGGTGCTTCTACAAAGGACAAGAAAGAAGAAGAGATTGAATTTATACCCCGCCTTTCACTCGGAGTCTCAGAGCAGCTTACAAACTCTTTTCCCTTCCCCTCCCCACAGCAGGCACCCTGTGAGGTAGGTGGGGCTGAGAGAGCTCTTCTGAGAACTGCTCATGAGAGAACAGCTCTGAGAGAACTGTGACTGACCCAAGGTCACACCAGCAGCTGCATATAGAGGAATGTTGAATCAAACCTGGTTCTCCCAGATTAGAGTCCATGCACTTAACCACTACACCAAACTGGCTCACCAAAGTAAGTCCTTTCCCAGAGCCACTTACAACAAAGTGTGAGATAAGGGAGGTGGCAGTGGGTGGGACGGGAGGGGGGGGACTCAAGGCAGTTAAAATTGCTTCACGTTAGTTTTAGTGAAAGAGGGGAGATCTAAGGGGTTGTGCAGGTGATTATGAAGGAAGGATTTGAACACAATGAGAGGTGGCATTGTGCAGGTCAGTTTCCAGCAAAAGGGACACCGAGAGAGGACAGAACTGTTAGCAGCAGCTGGAGACCTTCAAATGGCTGAGGCTGGTTGAACTGGTGGAGCAAAAGTCCTAGGCAGGACTATTTTTGGGCAGGAACTCACAGGAACGGAGTTCCGGCTGGCTCCCAAGTTGGCCACACCCAGCAGGAACTCATTAGCATAATAGGCCACACCCAAGAGCAGGAATTCATTAGAATTGGCTACATTAGGGGTGTGTGGCCTAACATGCAAAGGAGTTCCTGCTACTAAAAAATCCCTGGGTTTTGACAACAAACAAGGTAAACAGAATAAGAAGCAAAAGGTGGGTGTGGCTGGATGACCACACTTTTGGTAACATGGGAATGCGGCCTAATATGCTAATGAGCGGTGCAGTCAGGGGGTGTGGCCTAATATGCTAATGAGTTTGCTGCTGGGTGTGGGCTATTATGCTAATGAGTTCCTGCTGGACTCTTTCTACAAAAAAAGCCCTGGTCCTAGGAATGTATTGGCATGTGGTAGCGGAGAACTGGGTGTGGGCAAGGACATGGGCTTTGGAGGCAGCTGCTCGGTAGATGATGGAGTGGTAGTTCCAGAGGAATAGGAAGAAGGAGAACAGGAAGCGGGGGGTGGGAGACAGTGAATGGGGGACAAGATTTGGAGAGAGAATGCAGCAACGGGAGCTGAACAG